CCTTGAAGTTTTAACCAGAAATTATCTGTTCAAATCTCTGAGAGCTACTGCATCAGCCTATTTCTCTTTCTGGACTGCCTGAATCGTTTCTCCTTATCAGAACCATATAATGAAGCAAAAATGTCAAGGGACTTTGTAAAATGGAACATTCCACCCACGTGGAGCCCGTTTAGCAAAGCTTTCATCATGGCACTCCACCACTCAGGAACCTGCAGTTCTCAACTGACTACCCCATCAATTCCAAGCCCCTCTTTTCAAGTTTGCCCATAAAAATGCCCCATCCCGCCTGTTCCACTGCATTTCCTAGCACATGTGTTTAGAAGAGGAGGTCCACAGGGACCCTCTCTTCTAAACACACTGGACACCTCACACCACTTTATCCATAAAGTCAATCAACAACAAACCCACCCGGTTCTCTGCTACTTTCTAGCTGTGTGACTTTAGCTACAATATTTAAACTTTCTGGGGGTCAGTTTCCTTTACTCCAAAGTGGGAATAACAGTAGTATCTAAGTCAGAGTGTTGCTATAAAGATTAAAGTTAATATGGGTAAGGTACTTAGGACAGTGACTGGCACACAGTAAAGCACTTAATAAAAGTTAGCTCCAGTTAGTGTTATTATTGGGTTAGATTCATGGATATGAATTAGATATAGATTATTTACCTTTAAATTATTTACCTTTTCTGTGATTTGTTTTGGTTTTATTCTCCCGCCCCCAAACTATATATATATATATATATATATATATATATGCTGTTTCTACTTTGTCACTGAACAAGGTGATACTATCTTTGTTCAAACCAAAGTACAAATGAAGAGATACTATAAATGAAAAAAAAAAGTGTGCATGTGCCTCTGTGTGTGAGTGGGGGGGGGGGGTCTTTTTATTCTCAGTACGTATATATGCACCACAAGGGGAAAAGCATCCCAAATGTTTATATGTATGGTGATGAGTTATGTATCCTCATACAATACACAGTAGACGCAGGAAGAATATAGGCAGATGAAGGAACTCCTGCCCTTCCCCCCAAGCTCTGTTCTTCTCTCTACTGCCTTACTAGCTCTTTCCCAAGATGGGAAAAATTGTGGTCAGAACTCAATGGTCAGAAACTCATTGATTGGGCCATGTTTTACAAGTGGTCAGACTACTATGCCTTAAAGATAAGCAACCTTGAACGGTGTTCCTTGTTTCCTTCCTAGGTAGGGTATGGCCCAAGGGCAAGCCAGCTACCATCATCCAAGTGGCTGGCTGATGAGTCTCAGGGTTTGCTCCTCAGAACTGGTCTGTAAATCTTAGCAGCAAGGAAAAGGGAGCAGCAGGCTTCACTTAGGACTTAACCCTAAGCCAACACCCAACTCAATTTTTTTCAGAGAACCCTCAGAATAGGAGGTTTGCCCATAATCATGTGGCAATCTGTTTTATATTTATACTGTTGTTCTGAATATATAGATTCTGGCTTGAGAACCTCAAGGGTAAGAGGGTATGAGTGATAGGAGTCAAGCACCAAGAACCTATCCAAACTGTTAACCGCAGAGAGCACAAAGGGTCGCAGCACGGTTAGACAGCGTACTCTGGGAGAATATCTTGCCTAATGGCAGGGAATGGGGGGAGAAAAGCAGAGAAGCCCTCTGAAAGAGGCAGCAATTGCACTGGGACTGTAAGGCTTGAGTAGTACAGGCTAAGACAGCGGGAACCCCCAAGAATTCTGAAAACTAGCATCATTAAACCAAAATATAATTTAAATTAAAAAAAACGAGCATGTTAGGGGGTGATGAGAAACATCAAATCAGCCAGTGTTCAGTCTGTGGCCTGGGGGTCTTGGGCAACTTGGACACTGGAGAAATGGTCTCTGGACAAGGCGGGTAATGGTCACTGGGCTCAACCAGAGTTTCAGGGAATTCTCCATGCCCACCCCATTATTCTAATTCCCTTTTTCTGATTTCATACTACTGGGCTACTTTTTCATTTTTTAAAATGAAAAATTTTTTTAATTAAAAAATTAAATTTTAATTTAATTTTTAATTTTAATTTTTAATTTTAATTTTTAAAAATTAAAACTTCAGTTTGTCGGCAACTTTGAACCTGAGAAGGGCGTACCCTGCATAGAGAAAACAGCCCAGTCACTAGAAAAAGACAACCCCACTTGTACTGATAGAAAGATAGAATAGTTTAAAGGTGCTATTTCTACCTCTTCATTTGCCACTTCCTCCAAAATCAACTGGTGTCCCTCCTTCCTTCTCCACTGAACTCATCCCAGGAAAATCCACCCATTACCTCTCATTTCCTGAATCCATCAACTATTTAAACTCTTCACTGGGCCTCCCCATGGCATGGGACACTCTTCCTGATGCCTTTTTCCTTCGTCTCCTGGGTGGGAAACCATTCTGGGACATTTCCTGGTTCTGCTTCTCCATCTCTGGCAGTACCCTTTTAAGGCACTGTCATTGATTATTTCTAAGGATCTTGGGAAAGTCTCTACTCAGGACCCACAAGGCTAAAGCCTAGGCCCAGGGTAATCTAGTAGACGTGCTTCCCCTGGGAGGCCCACCCCACAAACATCCCCACTAGCACCCACCAGATGGTTGTAGGATCAGCCTTTGAAGATAAGTGAAAGGATCAGAGAGAAGGGTAGAATGGACAGTGAAAGCTCAGAGTGAGGGAAAGGAAGGAGTGAGAGATGGTTGTAAATGAAAGTTGGGTCAGACAGAAAATTCCAGGTAAAGGAGTTGAAGCTTCCTCCAGGGAGTAGGTTGGAACCATTGCAGATTTTTTGAGGGTTAGAGCCAGGCTTCAGGTTTTATGTGCAGAATGGGTGAGAGTGCCAAGCAGACAAACTAGAGATCTGTACACATATCACAGGCCCTGCTACCCCTGTAGGGTCACCTCACCTAAGTGCCCTCCCCCTTTTGTCTCACCAAAGTCTCTCACACTTCCTGGTTCAACTCTATAAAGCTTTCCTTTGGGCTGCAGCCCACCTGATGTCCACGTTCATAAAAGTGCCTGGACTACACAACTAACTTCATTCTCTCTCTATATATACAAACTGACATAGAATCTGACCTTTTTCTCCATTTGTTAGATGCATGTGCCCAATGAGAATATAATTTCTCATGTGCCACCTTTGAGTCACCTGGCAGTGCGCTAGGCTATGAACAGAATAACTACGTATTACATGCTTTCAAAAAGACATGGATTTTGTACTATTTATTCTTTTATAGAGTGACAGATTCTACTTCTGCTTGTTTTTCCCCTACTCTGCCCCTGCATTCTTTCCTTCTCCCTGACCACATGGCTGCCCAGCTAGAAGACTCTACTTTTCAGCCTCCCTTGCAGCTAGGTCATGTAATTAGGTTCTCGCCAAAGAAATGTGAGCAGCAGTGATTTGTGCAACCAGCCTAAAAGTAATTGTTTGTCCTGAACTTCCTCGCTTTCTCCTTTCCTCAAGCTTGAACAAAGACGTGCAAGCAACCTGACTTCCACACAGATGAGGACAAAGCCTTAGAGGGTGGGGGAACAACATCAGGGAAAGAACCTAGGTCCTTGAATGACCTTGTGGAACAGAGCTGGACCACCTGCCCAGACCAGCCAGACTCAAGTCAAAGAAAAATAAACTATCTTATTTAAGCCACTGTATGTTGGGGTCCCTGTTTCAGCAGTTAAGCATCTACACAACTAATGTATTTCCCCAAATCCATTTCTCCATATAATACAGTAAGTCCAGCTTTTGAATTGGGCATATTACTTCCCAGATAAAGGCTACATTTCCCAGCCTCCTCTGCACCTATGTGTGACCATATGACTAGGCTGTGGCTAATGAAGTGTAAGTAGAATTGCTACATGGGCCTCCTGAGCAATCTCCTTATAAAGTAGTCAGTGACCTTCTTCCCACTTCCTCTTTCCCATGGTCTGGAAAGTGAATGTAATGGCTGGAGATGAAGCAGCCATTTTGGACCACGAAGTTACATTCTAAGAGTTGTGAAGAAGCAGAAGACCAGGATTAGTGTCTCCGATGACCAGTTTTAGACTGCCTACTTCTAGATTTCTTTACGTGACAGGGGAACTTCTATCTTATTTAAGCTATTAATGTTTGTTTGTTGTAGGTAGCTAAACCTAATCTTAAGTAACAGATACATCCAGCATCATATCATCTGCTGGGACACACAGCATTTCAAAGCCCAACTTGATTCTTGGATATTCCTCTTAGCAGAAGAAAAGGAAAATCACTTTCCAAATTGCAGCAGTAAGAAGCCAGTTTCCATTCCTTCTGAAGAAAATCAGCTTGGCTTTTGTGCTCACTGAAACACTGCCTCTACAGGGAGGTCATTGAGGGACAAACACCCTGTCTCTGGGCCCACCAGGCCCCAACAATGGTGGCTCACACTAGGGATGCATGACATGTGGGAAGACAGTAAAGAAGTGGGATGGAAGTGGGGAAAGAGATGTGACCCGGCTCTCATGGGCAGGGCAGTGAGCACGAACAGAACGCTGAGCTTGGGACACTAGCCACTGCAAATTTAGGGCCATACAGACAGGGAGGAAATAAGGCAACATCTCTCTTTAAATTGGGATTTCTGCTTCCCACCAGCTGCTCTTATCTCACACACCCTAGGCCAGATGGCAGTCTCCTCCTTTACCACCCTCTACCCCAATCCCTGACAGAGGCAGAGAGTGGAGGCCAGATGCTGAAAACTGGGGGAGCCTAGACACAGCCCCACCTGTCCGCAGCTTCGCAGGACTTGACTGACCACCTGCCTCTCCCGGCCTCAGTCTCCCCACCTGTAAAGCCAGCAGCGGGTGGAAGGCGCTGACAGCTCTTGAGACCACTTGTCCAGGCGGATGGGTAGTGGGAGCCACGCGCTCCCCGTCCGGGCCTCGGCCGTGCCGGCGCTGCCTCCATTCGCATCCTAACCAATTGCCCGCCCCCGCCCCCGCTCCTGCCGCCTCCGGTCCCCGTCCCGGGTCTCCGCTCCCGCAGCCCCTCATCCTTCCGCAGCCTCACCCTCCTCGGACAGGTAGCGTAGGTCGTAGAACTCCCCCGCGAAGGTGCCGTAGGAGGAGTCGTGGCGCGGCACCGCCTCGTCGGAGCCGGAGTCCCCCTGCGCGCGGCCCCGGGGCCCCCGGCCCCCGGCGCCAGCGCCGTCGTCCGCGGGGCTGGCGGCACAGGCGACGGGCCCGGCCAGCAGCAGCAAGAGCAGCGGCGCCCAGGCCCCCGGGCGCTGCCGGCGCGGCCGCGCCATCGCTATCCACCGATCCCGCAGACAGGCCGCTCGGGCCGCAGCAGGGGCGCCGCGGGCGCAGGGTCGGACTGCGCGTCCGCCGCCGCCAGCACGCGTCCGCCCCCTCCCTCAGCCCGCGCAGCCGCGCAGCCGCCCGCACCCGCCGCCTCCCAGCCTCAGTCTGCGCATCCTCGCTGGCGCCAGAAGCCTCCCCTTCTTCCTAGCACCCTCCTCTCCCGAACTCTCTTTCTCTGCCTCCATTCTTCCTCCCATTTCTCCTCCCTCCCTCCACGAGTCTCTCACAGACACAGATTTGGCCCTCCGGGCACTGCCGACGCGGCCGCGCCAACGCTATGCACCGATCCCGCAGACAGGCGGCTCGGGCCGCATCAGGGGCGCCGCGGGCGCAGGGTCGGACTGCGCGTCCGCCGCCGCCAGCACGCGTCCGCCCCCTCCCTCAGCCCGCGCAGCCGCGCAGCCGCCCGCACCCGCCGCCTCCCAGCCTCAGTCTGCGCATCCTCGCTGGCGCCAGAAGCCTCCCCTTCTTCCTAGCACCCTCCTCTCCCGAACTCTCTTTCTCTGCCTCCATTCTTCCTCCCATTTCTCCTCCCTCCCTCCACGAGTCTCTCACAGACACAGATTTGGCCCTTCTACCCTCTTGCTACTACTCAGAAAGTGGTCCACGGAGCATCAGCAGCAGCAGCAGCAGCAGCCCCCAGAGGCCAGCATGTTAGCATCACTAATCTCGGGCCCCACAGCAGACACGTGACTCAGGACGCATTTTACCAATATCCCCGGGAGACCCCAGTATACGTTCACATTTAAGAAGTGCTCCCCGGAGGGTTCACCTTGAACACACCTTGTCAGAGTCACTGCTTCCCCCACCTTGTTCCAGCACTTTTTGGTTTATATAAAGCACTTACTATATCCATTACTTCTTGGGGTCATCACTGAAAAAGTTGAAATTGCAAGATACGCACTTTATAGATAGGTAAACCGAGGTCCTTAGGGCCACTTTAAACATAGGTAAACCGAGGTCCGAGGTCCTTAAGGTCTAGTTTCCCGAGGGAAACTAGAACCCAGCTCTTTGGGCTGGATTCGCATAGATTTTTGGCGTGTGCAGTCAGCAGAGGCTGCCGGTGCCCTTGCGTAACGTGCCCCCTTCAACACCAGGCAACTGGTTTACTGGTTTCCCCACAGCAAGCACGTACAGGCCTTGGCAGGCCCAGACCGTGGAATTCCCGACTTTCCCAAATCCATTCCTGCCGCTTGCAGTTCACTTCCGGTTTACTCAGCCATTCATTCATTCATCCACACCAAGCACTTAACTACATGCCAGGCCTTTCCAAATGATGGTTTTGGAGTGATAACACATTCAAACTGCTAAGCTGTTTTCCGCTAGAAAACATGGATACAATTCTTTTTATGCTAGTATTGCAGATCCAGCATTCTAGCTTGCTTTTAAATTTTATTTTATTGCATAAACAAACAAAATAATTACGGAGGCAGAAAAGCATAGAGGTTTCAAACGTAGGCCCAGAAGTCAGGCAGTGCCGTGTGGTGATCAGTAACCTCCATGATGCACTGGAGATTAGATAGAGGTGAGGATCAGTGGTATTGAATGAATACCTATAGTATTAAACCCTATGACAATGAACGAATGAATATGCCTATGGTTCTGAAATACAAAAATTCAAAAGAAACTAGTGATTACAACCTTTTTTGGCCCAGGAGAGATGGGAGACAGGGGACTGCTGTGAGAAGTGAGAAGTTTTGTGTGACCCAGAGGTCAAATGTTTGCTTTTAGGTATCAGTTAACACTGATGGTGGGTTGTCCAATTGGAGTTTAAACGTGTTTATCCTGACAGGTGATTCAGGTATAATTCATGGAAACCCTGGGCTTCACTAGGTCTCCCAATATCCCAGTCATTTTAAGAAATATGTCAGATTTACTGCTTGAAAAAGGTAAGATGAACTATAATTACTTTAAAAATCAAAACAAAGACATTTCTTTCCCAAAAACATAGCTTCCAGAGGATAAAATTCTAAAATACAAGAAGTCCAATCAATTGAAAATCTGTTAGAGTATCCCTAAAAGAACAAAAAAATCCAAAAAAAAAATCTTATTGTTAAATATTGAAATGTCTTTCTTTTCATCTTCCTGTTTATCAGGAAAGATATGGCCAATTTTAAGTGGACCAATGTTTAGCAAAAAAAAAACAAGCATTGGACTTCTGATTCTGGTGTTGATTCACTGGTTTGGGAATCCAAGCTGTTATCTATTACTTTATTTTTTATTCCCTTCATTTTAATTAATACAATTAACAGTGATGGTGCCAGATATAAGGTAGATTAAAACCAGGTCATTCTTCTGGTAAACTGGTCTGGTAAAACCAGGTGGGCTTTTTTTTTTTTTGGGCAGGGGATGTCAGGTGCTGGTGTCGGAGGAGGGTTTGCACCCACAGCTTAAAATGAAGCTTGTAGGTAAACTGCAGATTTCAATGAGCTACCCGTGATCAAGGACCTGGGGTCCATGGACTCAAAGGCGGACATAGATGGGTTTCAGGGGTGGTGTGAGGATCGAATGAAAGTGCTGGAATGATGTGTGCTGCATAGCTTTTTCTAGGGAGAATACCCATAATCTTCATGGGTCACTTAAAAGTCTGCACACCACCCCAGGGCCTTAGAACCTACTCTGGTGTCCAATTCCTTATGGGCTTGGCTGCTTCCTTTCACGAGGTTCTCTCTCATCCACTTAAATTGCTTTTGGGATTTTCTTATTCTTTTTGTTTTCCTACAAGATTTCAGCCCTGGAGGGAGACCTGTTCTCACCCTCAGCACATATTCCCTACTTTGTTACATCCCAGGTTTTGCATAAAGCCTCTGCTCCCCACTGATGTGAATCCACAATACTGTGGTTTTCTCTTTTGTACATATTTTTCAAGGAAGAACGTTTCCTGAACATGCTGAGACCACTGCCTGAACAAGAGTTGGGCATTCAAACAAGATCTTAGAGATGAACCTGAGTTTAATTTCATTTGCACTTTTAAAAAAAGATAGCACCTTTATTTTCTCTTCTCAAAGCCATTTCTCTAAAACAATTTTTTTCTGTTATAAACTTCACCCCCCACAAATCCGTGCTGCATCTCGTTATCTGACCAGTTTAACAACAGATTTGTCCACGCTTCTGTCTGTCTAGTAATATATGTGATTTTTTTCCCTTTTGATTGTTTATGAAATAAAAGTTGTGATCTTGGCAGCTCCTCAAAAAGTTCAACATAGAGTTGCCGTATGACACAGCTATTCCCATCTCAGTTATATAACCAAGAGAACTGAAAACAGATGTTCACAAATGTTCATATTATTCATAAGAGTCAAAAAGTGGAAGCAAGCCAAATGTCTATTAATTGATGAATGGATAAACAAAATGTGGCATATCCTTACAATGGAATATTATATAGCCATTAAAAAGGAACGAAGTACTAATACATGCTACAACATGGATGAAACTTGAAGACATTGCGTTAAGTGAAAGAAGCCAGTCACAAAAGACCACATATTGTGTTATTCCATTTATATGAATGTCCAGAATAGGCAAATCCATAGACAGATATCCAAAGACAGAAAGTAAATTAGTGGTTGCTAAAAGACAGGGGGAGGGGAGAATTGGTAGTGACTACAGATACGGAGTTTCTTTTTGGAATCATGGAAATGTTCTGTAATTAGATAGTTGTGATATTTGTATGACATTATGAATATGCTAAAAAATACTGAATTATATACATTAAAATGGTTAACAGGGTGAATTTCAAGTTTTTTAAAAGCTGTGATCTTTGAGATGATGAAAGAAAGATAAAGATGGTAACAGAGGGCCTTCCCTGGTGGCGCAGTGGTTGAGAGTCCGCCCGCCGATGCAGGGGACACGGGTTCGTGCCCCGGTCCGGGAAGATCCCACATGCTGTGGAGCGGCTGGGCCCGTGAGCCATGGCCGCTGAGCCTGCACGTCCGGAGCCTGTACTCCGCAACGGGAGGGGCCACACAGCAGTGAGAGGCCCGCAGACCGCAAAAAAAAAAAAAAAAAAAAGATGGTAACAGAATATTCTTGTGCTATTCTGGGAGTGTAAAACTTGGTAAAAGATGGGATCTTCTGAATGCTCTAGGACCTCGTTTTTAAACTCTTTAAACATAAGGATCTCCTATGCAATCTACAATCCACAAACCTGGGGTTGCAGGATTCCCAGGCCACTTGCATTAACCCTCACCCCCATACCCACCAGGAGTCTGTGGCTCACAGTCTGGAACACTTGCTCCGGAATGATTATGTCAGCAAGCTGATTTTTCTCCCTGGACATAAGATGTGTTGTGTGACCGTATGGTACTGTTATTTTGGTTTTAAGTATATAAAAAAAGGCGAAGTGATTGTACCAATTCATTTTTATCCCTATGAATCCACCCAACACAATGTCATCTTCTCAGGTCACAATGCCAAGCACCCAACATACATGTACGTAGGCAAATAACCAGGACAACTGCTGAAACAATGGAATCCTCTTGATTTTACTGGTTAGAGTTGAGCTGCCAAAGGTACTGGGTTTTCATATACAGTAACAGCCAACTTGTTTGTGATCAGACTTCCAGTGACATCTGTGAACCCAGGGGGACATGGGGAAGAAGCAGCAGGCTCAGAGCCTCCTGAGAACAATGGCCAAAAAGCCCATGCATCCCTCCTCGGAAGCAAAGCCAACCTGACACGTATGTAACACTGAGTTTCCTGGCTTCCTCAAGAAAACTTCAGTTTTGCCCTGGAGGTTTCCATCAGAGAGCCGGAAGTGAAGAGCAGAAGACTGAGAAAGCAGGTTAGAAGAGGAGGGATTGGCAAGAGGTGACAACCCCAGAAACAGATATTTCCCCCGTACTGTACAGGAACACATTTTGTATCGTGTACACAACATAAAGAATGGCTAAAGCTGTTTTAAAAGTACAGCCGGGGTCATGTAGTATTGGGGTGGGGGGTAAAAGTTCCCAAATACCACAATTGCCCCCAGACAGCTTCACCAATAGAGCAGACAGCAGTGCAAACCATCAATGAGAAAAGCGTTAGTCTGTGAAAGGCAAGCCAAGCCCTGCGCATCTGGATAGTGCCTGACGACATCACTGCACCACACCAAGGTACAAAAGGGGCGGATGTTTGTAATGATGACCATGACTCATCAAGAAAAGGTTAAATACTCTCCAGTATACTCTGTTTACTAAGGCAGGGAAGTGTGTAATATATTTTAGAAAGATTTCCCTCAAAAAAATATTAAAATTGTATAGATTCAGCACTTAAAGGGTTAATCCTCTGTTATCTGAATATTTGCGTACATTACCTCATTTTACAACAATGCTAGTCAATGAGGCATTACTTTTTTTTTATAATCATTAGTATCAAATTATTGGCACCATTCACGTTTAAGGAGAGGGACAGGAGAGCAAATTATACAACATAAAAATACAGTTCTGATACAAATATACGAGATCAATTCCACTTAAGTGGTCATAAGAAATGGATGGACATTTTACACACAAGGAAATACAGCCAGTAAGTCACCACATGGAAAAGTGCTCAGCCTTGCTAGCAATTAGTGAAATAAAACCACCTTTCAAGAAACAACTATACGCACTTATTAAACTAGCAAAAATAAATAGAAATGGCACAACCCAATACTGGCAGAACTATTGGTAAATAGAAATGCTTACACATTGCTGGTGGCATCATAAATTGTAGAGGGGATTCAAGCATTCAGAGAGGATGGGGGGTTGAATTTGATGACCTTTAAGGTCTTTTCAACCCAGAGACTGGATCTTTCTAGAAAGCAATCTGGCAATATGAAACAAGAGCTATAAAATACCTCATGCTCTTTGACCTTGTAATCTCTCTTTGGAGATATTCCCAAGGGGAGAATCCAAAGGAAGGAACATTTTTTACAAAGACATTCATAGCAGCACTATTTATAAGAGTGAAAAATTAGATATAACTCAAATAGCTAGTAATGGCAAGAAATGAGGTTAATCATGTTACATGGATACAAAGAAATCAAAATTGGTGAGAGCAGGATCAGTGTTGAAAAGAGGAGCTGTGTGTTAGATGGAGGAAGTAATCAAAGACCATGTACACACTGACCATACTGATGTAAAAATGTGTGCATATTCATTGAGAAAGCATGGGAAACATTTCAGAGGGCTAGTCTGTGGTTAGGGGGTTCTTCATTATTCCTGCAAAGTTGTTCAAGTGCATAATAAAAATTTAAAAACACATTTCTTGAAACTATACAAAAAGAGAGCAAAGTTTCTTCTGGTCAAGTTTCTATCAACAGGACATGAGTTGATCAACTTTAGAAATAATTTTCCTTTATGGAACAGCCAAATGAATCCTGATATCAAGTCACTTTGTAAGGATTTTTAGACAATTTAAACTATAATGTCTTACTTTGGGTTCAATAATAAATTTTATATATCCCAAATAATATCATATACCATAAGTTCACAAGTTAAATTGTATTTCAGATTAAGCTGAAGCACCTTCAGCTCTGGCGACTGCAACTTTCCTTTTTTAGTTCACCTACTTGTGTCTGAATAAAAATGAATGTTAAAGACTTTATAAGATCTGTGTATTTACCAGTGTCAATGAAAAACCAGCAGTAAAGAATTATTCTCTCATTAAAAATGACTCTAACAAACAGTCAAAGCTTGGTGCAAGTGTCAATCATACAAAATCACATGGTTGAGATTGACAGCAAAGGATTCCGTGCCATATTAACCCCTGTGGTTATTAATATATACACACAGGAACTTCTGAAAAGGAATCCTGGTTTTCCCATCTTTCTTCTAGGCTTTACCAAACCCTGTCTCAACTACACTGAGTAGCAGAAAATCTCTAATACTCAGGAGACATAAAATATCTTTTCCGATAGAAGTCAAGCCAGAAGTTGGCTTTGACTAACCACAGAGACCTGGGCCAACAGAGCACACATTTGTATGTTGTGCTAGAGTGATCACACAAAGCCCGAAGAAAGAAAACGGACAGAAGGCACCATGCCATCCTCCAGGCACCAAGGGGAGAATTTCACAGTTCGGTCATCAACAGTCTTTTCATCATTTTCTCTCTCTCCAGTTCCTGCCGGAGCGTCTCTGCACTGAAAAACAATAAGGTGACAAAATGCTGAGATACACGCTCAAAAATGGTAAGAGCAGTCTCAGTTTAAATGTCGTCTCCCAGATTCTTTCCCAATCTGAGTTCTTGACTTTCTTTTTCAGGCTCCTTAAGGACCCCCTACATTTGCTAGCATTACAGTGACCTGAAATAGGCTGCCTATAGGTTCCCCCCACCAGATGGAGAGCTTCTGAAAGCACCGCTCCTCAGGGGACTGACTGTTATATATGCCATTCCTCTCTGAAACCCTGGAGCCTAGCATAGGAACTGGCACATAGCAGCCTCTCAGTAAAGGTCATTTAAATGAATGGGAAAATGTCCAGGGGTTAGATTTCTTTAAATCATGTTTTCAATTGGTTTCATATGCACTTTCTCCCAGAATTACCTCCAATGTTTTAATAAATAAAATTGAATGAAGTAAAATTGGCTGCTTTAAGAGGATGCTGCTGAGTCCTTTGCCCTCGAGCCCAGTTGCCTATCTATGGAATTTATCTCCACTGTTTAGGTGCACACATACATACACACACACACACACACACACACACACACACACACACACACACACACACATCCCACAGGAAGTACACGTCTTGAAAGGCACAATCGATTTTTTAAATAATTTCATTCAGAGTAGAAAGCAATGTTTCTACTATGGCCAAGAAGGCTTTACACAATCTGGCCCCAGTTTCATGGGTTTCCTCTCCTGTCATTCACTACCTCTCTGGCTGCACCAGCACCCTTAACTCTTTCTTAACCATGCCAGGCTCACTCCACCTCAGAAGCCTTAGCACCAGCTGTTCCCTCTGACTACTATACTCCTTTCCCAAATATCTGCAGCTTGCTCCCCTCACCACCTTCAGCTCTCTGCTTAAATGCCACCTGGGTGAGACCATCCCAGCATGCCCTATTGCCCTTCATGGATTTATGTTTCTCCCTAGCACTTGTCACTCTCTCACACACACATACACACACTCATTCAATGTCTCTCTCCCCTCCCCCAACACTAAATTGTAAACTCCGCAAAGGTAGCACTTTCATCTGTTTTGTTCACTCTACAGCCCTAGCACCTAGAATAGTGCCTAGCCTTTGACGACATTTCAATAAACACCAATATTCAGAGAATATTCAGAGAATAAATGAATAAAAGAATGAATAAGAGAGTGGTAGATGTCACAAACACAATGCACCTAGAGCCTGTGCCTGGTTTCCTGTCATCAGAGTTATCTCTTGGTACCTGCTGATCTGACTCACCTGGCCACTGGAGAAACAGGCTTCCGAATGGTGTAGATGGTCTGCACTGTGGAGACGGTCTCTGTCAAAGGCCTCAGGGTTGCTGCTGGAATCAGTGGGGAAGACTGGCCAGGACAGCACTGTAATTTACTGTCTCTAAAGTCTGCCTGGAGAGGAAACAGAAAAGAGGAAATCAATCTCAGTTTGGGTTCCATTTTCACACTGTCAGCTGCTCCCTAAGACTTACCACACAGTCCCTGTTATTTTATTTATTTAAGAAATTTTATTTATGTATTTATGGCTGCGTTGGGTCCTCGTTGCTGCACACGAGCTTTCTCTAGTTTCGGCCAGCAGGGGCTACTCTTCGTTGCGGTGCGTGGGCTTCTCATTGCAGTGGCTTCTCTTGTTGTGGAGCATGGGTTCCATGCGCATGGGCTTCAGTAGTTGTGGCACGCGGGCTCAGTAGTTGTGGTGCACGGGCTTAGTTGCTCCGCGGCATGTGGGATATTCCCAGACCAGGGCTCGAACTCGTGTCCCCTGCATTGGCAGGCATATTCTTAACCACTGCGCCACCAGGGAAGCCCAGTCTCTGTTATTTTTTAATAATAGTTAATCAATTGCCATTTATTAAATGATATTGCTTAGTGCTAGCCACTATGCTAAGCACTTGACATACATCACCTCTGGACAATCTTAAAGGTAGAGGTCATGTTTCATCACATGTTAGACACCATCATTTGTAAGATGCATCATTTTTGCATGTGCCACAGAGAAAGAAAAAGTAACCATTCGAACTCTGTCATGTACACTATTGTAATAAACATTCTGATTTCAGAGATGTTAGAAGGTGGAAAAACGTACATCTTGGAACTGATTTTAAGGAAAAGGAAAGTGAGGCTCAAAGAGGTTAAGTGATCCTCCCAAGGTCACACAGTTAGTAAGTATTAAGAACCAGTATTTAAAACCAGGGTTGGCTGACTTCAAAATTGGTGTTTTTTTACCATTATAACAGTGGTTCCCAAAGTATGGGCCGCAGACTAGCAGCATCAGTACCGCCTTGAAACTTGATGAAAATGCAAATTCTCAGGCCCCAACTAAGACCTCTGGAACCAGAATGTTTGGGGACAAAGTCCGGCAATCTGTGTTCTTACGAGACCTTCAGATGATTCTGATATACGGTAGAGTTTGAGAACTACTGGTCTAGAGTACACTGCCTCATTTCAAGAGGATAATTTATTATTGCTTTCATTACAAAGCAAGATATGCTTATTACTGTACATAGAAAACTCAGAAGATATATAAAAGTAAAGAAATGAAGTAATTCCATAATCCCTTACTATCACTGTCAGTGTATTTCCTCATAGCGTTTTTTCTATGCATACTTTTTTGTTTGTTTTATATCCTTTCAGTAGTACCAGCTATATATTTTATAACTTGAGTTTTCATGCTAGTTCCTGGCCCTAAACTTGGAGACATTTTTCACGTGGCTTTCTAAAGAAGAGGTTTTAATCATCAAATGAGCAATATATTTCTAGTGATTAGACAGACGATGAGCTGTCCCTCCTAAGGAAACATGGAAAACCACAACAATACCAGGTATAGTTGTATTTCTATAAGGGTATATCTGGCTTGAGCAACGGGGAGACTCTTATCTTTGAGAGGTCCTGAAAGACTACTACTGAGAAATACAAGCCCTTGTTTGTTTTACAAGTGCCTCTAGAGAGAGAACTGACCTGGCCTGGGCTGGAGCAATGCCAAAGAATTGACCACGAGAACAGGAGCATCGTAGAATTGCTAGCATGTGATGTCTGCCACAGGGAGCTTTCACAAACTTTGGGCTGTAGTGGTCACTTGTGTGGTTTACCAGATAATCCTGGCTCATTGATTTCCATGGTAGGATTACACTTCCCCACCCCACTTTGAAGTTAGGCATGACCATGTGCCTTGTTTTGGCCAAAGAAATGTGCTGCCGTGTTTTATTTCCATTGGAAGATTTAAGTGCTAGTGTGTGATTTGTCACCTTTTTTTTTCACCTTTGCCACTGTGACTAGCAATGTTTCAGATGGCAGCTGCTCCATTAGCCTGGGTCCCAGAAACAGAGCAACACAGAGCACAATGCATAGCCCACCCCTGACAGACATGCAGCGTGAGTAGGAAATTCAATTTGTCATTTTAAAGCATGACTTAGCCCAGCCTTCCTGATACAGGAGCTGGGGTAAGAAGTTATTTTGTTGTTTCAGTGAAGTGGGTGGAGGTTGAGCTTTTGATGCCAATTTTGATCCTTTCTGGAAAAAAGAGGGAAATTTACACTTACATACAAAGGCAAAAGTGGGTAAAAGTACCAGGGCCTTAGCATGAATCAGGGCAGTGGCACCAGACTTTATTAATAGTCATTATATTCTTTACTGCCATGCACTCAAAGTAGAAAAAGAAAGAGCCAGCTTCACTTAAGAATGACCTTAGAAGGACTTCCCTGGTGGTGCAGTGGTTAAGAATCCACCTGCCAATGCAGGAGACATGGGTTCAAGCCCTGGTCCGGGAAGATCCCACATGCTGCGGAGCAACTAAGCCCGTGTGCCACAACTACTGAGCCCACACTCTAGAGCGCACGAGCCACAACTACTGAGCCTGTGTGCCACAACTACTGAGCCTACGCTCTCGAGCCCGCGAGCCACAACTACCTAGCCCGCGTGCTGCAACTACTGAAGCCTGTGCAACTAGAGCCTGTGCTCCACAACAAGAAAAGCCACTGTAATGAGAAGCCCGCGCACCGCAAGCAAGAGGAGCCCCCGCTCGCCGCAGCTAGAGAAAGTCGACTCGCGGCAATGAAGACCAACGCAGCCAAAAATAAATAAATAAATAAATAAATAAATAAATAAATAAAAAAGAATGACCTTAGGGAGCAGTGAAACTTACTATTATTAAATCTCAACCCTGAGAACTTGCCTTCCTATTTGCTGAATGAAGAAATGAATGAACGAACTTCTGCTGGAACAAAGCAGATAACACAGGGACAGACCAGGTTAGGCAGAAGAACATGGGACAGAAATCTGACCAGAGCCAGGCAGGGGACCTCATCTTAGACAGACCAAGGCCCTGGGCTGAGTATCAAGTAGAGTTAACAGGCCCAAATACAAGACAGAAACTGGTCTCAGGATTAAGCAAGGAGCCTGGTTGTTGAAACCAGGCCCAAGGTCAATGCTGGATCAACTGCCAGAAAAACTTTGTGTGGAGTTCCCTGGAGCTGCTGAGCTCCCCCATGACTGTGGTCAGGATAGGTGTGGAGGCCTGTGGAGAGGGCAACCCTGTAGCAAGGTCAAGTGTTTTGACCTTGGAGGGGAGGAAAAGACAATATGACACACGGGGGGGGGGGGGGGTAAGAAAATTAGGAAGCTGAAGCTCATGAATTTGGCTTGTTACCATCCAGCTGTTAGTAACTCCCTAATTATAATCTCCAGTCTAGTCCTGTCTCCTGATACAGACTTGGATATCCAACTGCCCATTCATTGTTTCCATTCAGATGTTTCCAAGGCATTTCTAACACATCATGGCCAAAGGCAAACTCATTATCCCTCCCAATCCACTCTTCCCTAAGATTTCCTTATCTTAGTGAATGCATCCACTCTCCGTCCACATTCTGCAAGTCAGAAATCTGGGAGCCCTTTTTGGCCCTCCCTCTCCCTCATCCAATCCAATTCCTTACCAGCCTCTTTTTGTTTTTTTTAAGATTTTTATTTTGATGTGGACCATTTTTAAAGTCTTTATTGAATTTGTTACAATATTGCTTCTGCTTTATGTTTTGGTTTTTTGGCCACCAGCCATGTGGGATCTTAGCTCCCCGACCGGGGATTGAACCCACACCCCCTTGCACTGCAAGGTGAAGTCTTAACCACTGAAATGCCAGGGAAGTCCCCCTTACCAGCCTCTTAAATATCCCCCTGATCCGTGCACACCTCTCCACCTCCACCATCCACACCTCTCTGGATCACACTCTCTGCCTTCTCTCCCTTGAACTACTGTCCTAGATTTCTAGGCTACTTCCCTGGGTCCACTCTGCCTGAACCCAGCTCTGCTCCCACTGCCATCACAGGGATAATTTCCAAATGCAGCTGCCCTGTTACTACCCTGCTCCAAGTCCTTCAAAGGCTTCCCATTGCTCGTAGGATCCAGATCAGAGCCCCTCCTTTGGCCTACAAAGCCAAGCATGGTTTTGCCCTATAGGGTTTGTCCCTGCTTTCCTCCCCTTCCTCCTCTCATGCCTCACACCCTTGCTCTCTGCCTTCTAGACCCACTGGCTTTCATTTCAGTCCCTTGAATGTGGGACGACTCCTCTGCCCCAGGACTCTGGTTCATGCTGTTCCCCCTGCCTGCTCCAGCTGTCTCAAAGCCCTCTTGCCCAGTTCTTAAAAGTCCCAGCATGGTTTCTGACATTGGCTTCCTGCTCCATCTTGGCCCCCAGCTTTTCAGGAAGGGCTTCCCTGGGTGTCTCGCAGCACTGCCAAGGCTGGGGAGCAGGCCAGAGTGCCCGCCACGGCCAGCAGCGGAAGTAGAGCCGGAGCTTCCAGCTGGGGAGCTGTGCCTAGCCCAGCTGCAGGGGCCAGATGAATGTTGCGGCAGCAGCACTGAACAGCCCGGCCCAGCCCCTGTGTCTCTGCTCTCTGGCTCTTAAAAGGCAGGTTCTGGAAGCAGATCGTGACCCGAGCGTGGATTGTTCTAGAAACCTGCTTTTGTCTCTGCATGGACTGCTGAACACCTTCCCAGTTCTGTTCATCCTCCAAAACATGAATCAGCCACTGCTCACAGCCTCCCTGTTCATGCAGCCGGCCACCTCAGGTAGCGACCATCACCTAACCCGAGACTGCACTTCAAGCTACCCCTAGGCCACCTCACAGGTCCTCTAGATTGGCCTTTGGAAGGAGCCTCAGGGACCACTTGGTTCTTGGTTCTAGGAATTGCATACTCTGATCCCTGGGAGGAGGAGAGGGTGAGGGGAAAGAGGAGGGAACCTCTTCTGCCCCCCCCCACTTGAGCCTCCCCACTTCTGCTCAGTAGATGGTGAGCTGCTGCAGAAGCTTTTAGTTAAGGAAAAAAAAGCTGAGCAGCTGAAAAGAATCCTGAAAATCATCGAACTCTCTCATTTTGCAGATGAGGAAACTATATTTAAATG